CACACTGTGTGAGGTAATGTATTTGCTGATTAGCTAGATTTTAGTATTCTACTATATATTTATGTGCTTTAAAACATGTTATACATGATAAAACGTAAAATTACATATGTCAACTTAAAAAATAAGAATCAAGAATAATAATATTCTTTGTAAAACTCTATGAATGTTCACAATTGCTATCTTTTCTTCTCGGAAGACATTATGGTTGTACTGAGCCCTGGAAGGTCCCTTCCATTAGGCTGGTCACATTGCACTCACAGCTAGGAAACAGAGAGCAAAGAACGCACGCATGCTGCTCAGCCCCTCCTCTCCTTTTCATTCACCCCACTGCCCAAGAACCAAGGCCCTAGGCAGACCCACAGATGGAAAGGGAGATGGCCAGGCAGACACTGAGTTGAATAGGAAGAGAAAACAGAGTTAACCATTCATGGTTAGAGGAGTCCTTGCTGCAGCCAGCACTGTAACCAGCTAATCAAACCAGGTCAAATCATGTCCCAGACAATCTTCCAGGCAGCCTTCAGAGGCTCACCGAGCCTGAGAAGCCAGCCAATTATGCCTGATCATCCTCTGCAACCCTGTCCTTACAAGAGACAAGTCCAGACTGGCCCAATACAGACAAATGAGCAGTTCTATTATCTCTGAAAGGCAATTTAATTCCCTTCAAATTTAAAAGTCTCCACAGTTTCCTAACAGGCCTCAGTGGGGCACACGTAGAAATTAATAAGTTCACAGTGTGCCTGGCTTGCTTTCATTATCATTTTTTTTTTGCCATGCAATGGACAGGATTTCCATTATTACTCAAAGATTTTTCTGTGTTTGATTCTTTAAGAAGGTCAAGTCTGTAGAGCTCAGACTCTGAGTTGAGAACTGAGCTGAGTCTAATGGCATTGCCTCAAGTTTGAGGGAAGTTTGCTGATCGGATGGGGCAAGGATCAAAAGGCAGGATCATAGGGACAGGGGATACAGAGCATCGTACAGAAAACCTGGTTCTAGTCCCTGCATCTAGCTGGCCTGTCCTGGGATACTGTGAAGATGCTCAGTCTCAGTACCAATCAGGTATTTCCTCTATGATAGGAACAGGGAGGAAAGGGTGGATAAGGACACTCAAGTTTTATTAAACTTCCACTGTGTTTACAGCATGTGGTATAGACATTCCTTAAATTTCATCATAACAACAACCCTATATAATTTTAGTGATGATATTAGTAAGGTCAATATAATCACGTACTTTACCATATTGTCACTAAATCACCATTAGAATGAGCCTTATGAGAGCCAGGGAAGGAAGACTCCTACCGCATGAACAAAATTATAAAGTCATACACTGCTTCCTAGAAAGCAACTTAACATGTTTCAGGAACTTGGAAATGTTTGACCAATTAATTGAAATGTCGAAAATCCATCCAAACAACAGACTCCAAGAGGCAGATGTGTTATAATAAAAAGAACTGGAAATAGATGGATTTATTTTCAATAGAAGACCAAGCTATAAAATATTCATTTGTATAGTTACAATATTAATAGTATTTAAATAGATAACATTAATAATTAATTTTAATACTATATATGAGGTGTGAACACAATTTATAAGAAGGCTTTTTTTTCTTGCCAAAACAGGGTAATTGTACATATAAACCCATAGCACTGTGACAGCATGCACAGGGCTTGTGTAAGCCCAAGCCAGACAAAGACCCAGTGTGTAGAGGGATGGGTAAGGATGAATTCCCAGCCCTAGCTGAAAAGCTCTTAGAAATGGATAGCTGCTGGGAGAGGGAAGAGTCTGTTTTCTTCAAGGGTGTGATGTTGGGTAAGTTGACTGGGCTCCAGGGGATGGAACGTCACCCAAGATTGTTTGGGTAACACAGATAAGACTCTCTAGTCCTTTAAAAAATAACAGAGCACATGAAGTCAGGAGGGTAGGGAGGTAGTGGTGGATCTGAAGGGAGATGACCAAAATACAATGTATGAAATCCTCAAAGAATCAATAAAAATATTTTATAAAAAAATAGAAACACAGCTAAAGCAAACACACTAAATGTTTAGAGTTTTTCTGTAGTAGTGGGGAAACAAAGGCTTTGGGCTTTTGTATATGCCTCTCACTGTATTTTCCATATTTTCTATAATTAATACATCATGATTTTTAACTTAAAATAATTTACTAAATTATGATTCTAAATGATTTACTAAAATAAGATTCTAAATGATTTTTGAGCATATTCTGGGGTAACTTTTCTCCTTAGAAAATCTTAAACGGTGGGAGAAGAAGGAAAACACGACGATTGAAAATGATATGGGGGCGTGTTCTTCCACAGAGCAGAGGCTCACCTTACTGGCCCACCTGGAAGTAAAGACCTAGGGAGGAGCCTGGGAAAAGTGACCCCCAATGCAGGGCGGGGGGGACTAAAAGCTCCAGTTGACTTGGAGGGTGATGGGGCCTTCAGATATGAAGTTTTCAATTTTATGAGAACGATAGGGATCTGAAATAAATCTTCAGTATTTTCTTTTTAAGACAAATGTTTTAAAATAAACGCCTGCAGCATGGATGGATGGCTAGTGCCTGTATCCTGTCTTACAGCTAGCCATAAATAACGTTGAGAAAAATAGCTCCGACCATTCTAAAAAGCACCTTTATTTTTTACTCTTAAGAGCTTGGCAGATTATATTTTGATGCATTAAGCTAGATTTTTTTAAGGCAGCTGCAAAAATAACAGGTGGAGTATAGAAATTGTCTTTTGCTGGAAATAACCATGCAGGGCTTGGCTGAGAAGCAAATCTTAGTTTCAAAACATGCCTGAACAACAGTGGGGCACATCTGACAGAATACAAATTCAAGTTTAAAGGCACTTGACAGGGTTTCAATTTAGGAAATGCTTTGATGAATCTCCAAATGAAGCTTTTAATTGTCTGTCAGCCCTTTAACTGAGAAAGCTAAGTAATCTGCTGTAAATATAAACTCTCAAATATTATATTTGCTTGAGTTTATTTTTCTTTTTATTGTAGTTTGTATGTTAGAGAGTGTGTCGTTTGACTGCGGACTTCAGTTCCTTCTCACTATTGGTTGAGAACAGGGCTCCATTAGGGATAGGCATAACAAATAGTCAACACATCACTCATCTTTTAACAGGGTCACCCTCACTGCATTGAAATGACTGGACAGCATCAGTCATTTACTTCCTGGGAGTCTGCCAGCCGTTCCCTCTATAATGCTGGAAAGAAAAGTCAAGCACCCAGGAGAAAGGGGAACACAGGCCCTGCTGTGCAGAAAGGCCTCTTGTGCACACACTGTGAAAGGAAGGACTGAGGCGGTGCTAGAGTACACACATGGACCAAAGAGGAAGTCCACTGAGAGCAGGGTGCAGATTTGTGATCCCAGCACTCTGAAGGCTAAAGTGAAGGAGAATCACAGGTTTGAGGCCAGCCTGGGCTACACACTGAGTTTTAGGCCAGAGATCCCCTACATAAAATAATAAACCAAAACAAAGAAAGTAAGGAAATCATGACTCAGCTCTCTCTGTACCTAGATCAGATTCATTGAGGTTTTCCAGAACCTTGCATTTTTATGATAAATCGCCCAATTTCTATAGGGCATCTCAATTTTTTAAAAGCACATATTGATTGCCAAACCAAAGCTTTTCATGACCCAAACATTATTTTACTGATATTTGCCTACAACTTTCATCCCCAGTGGTTATTAAATGTATTGGTCAACCCCAATACCATATTAGTTATGTCCAGAAGGACCTGAAGTGTAGTGCTTCTAGGCTGCCAAAAAAAGGGGGGGGGGCGGCACATCATATTTTTAATAGAAAAGGTGGCATAAGATTTATGCTTCAAAGGACTATTTGGTTGGAGGACATTGGAAGGTGGCTTGAAGATTCCCCAACTTTAAACATCATGAGAGCCATAGGTGCCCTTGGTAGTTATCATTCTACATAAAACAATGATAAAGCCTTTTAAGAGTCTCTCCCTGACTCTGCAAGAATGCTTATGGGCTTATTGTCACACAATGCTGAATTTAACCCAGCCCATCCCTCCTGACTTTATAACACTCTGTAATGAATAAAGGGTCTTCACAGTGCATATCTTTAAAAGTACAAAAGAGTTATTTTTTTTCTGCCCAAGTAGCTCATAATGTAGCAGACAAACTGTCAGAAAAATTAGACTCCATCATAGCAAAAACCTCTGCCTGGCACCCATTGATCATAAAGCAATCTTCCAGAGGTCTTGAGAACCTTCATTCAATTTCCTGTTTTTTTCCTGACAATTATAAAATGTTAACGATATTACTCATGATGCAGGTATCTTCAGAAACTCTTTATCTAATCCCTCCCGCCCTGACCACTCTCCATCCCATTGTCTTTGCCAAAATCCATGGAAATAGGTAACATCCCAGCACCCTACATAGATCCCTTCTGGGGTCTGGTCCCTGCAGGAAAGTCAGGGGAGAAAGCAGTGGTAGTCTTTGTGACAGTAAGAAAGCTCCATCAAAGGGCAAAATTACTCTGATCCTTCTTCTTCCAAAAGCCACACCTACTTTTAAGTTCAACACCCTGTCTTCCCTTTAGTGGGTGTTTCCTGATTCTTATTTTTCCTTTCCCTTTCTTTTACCAATCTACCAGTCTACAAGTCTCCACATGAGAAGTGTGGGTAGTGGGGACAATGGGTGCTACGTTCTATCATGTCTATGGGCCATTGCTCTACTGGAACATTCCCAGAGCAACCTTGCCAGTCCAACTCTTCCAACTTCAGGGGCTACTCCAGGGATTTACCACCTCTTAGAAAAAGGAACAAGGGTCTTGTGTAGGAGCAACATAAAGGAAAAATGGCAAGGAGATAAAGACTCCACACCAGGAATAAGAAGAGGCATACAGCATGAGAAGCACAGGCTGATCTACACAGGGCAGTGACCACAGCCTTAAAGCCCTTGCTGGATTTGATGGAGGTCTATCATCAAGTCTCTGAGGTGAGCCCAGCTCAAGCATATCAAGCTGTCATCTTACCTGCAAAAGGAACTGGTGCATCTTTATCCAGCGCTACCAGTGGAGGGTCCAAAATGACTGTGTCATTGTTCTCAGTTATGACTCCATGATATGATGTCTCGATCCATGGCTTGTGTTTGTTGACTAGAAAGTAACACAAAGCAAAAAAAAAAATCATCATGTGAATAACGGATCTATAACAATACTATTAACATAGCACATTTGCCCAATCATAGACCCTGATCCAACAACCCAGGTCATAAAATACATTAGCCCAGTTCAAATGCAGAACAGCTTCAGAGAGTTGCAGAGACAGTTCAGTGACGCACCCCAGGCCCACATAAGGGGAGGGACAGCTCCAACACTAAACCGCAGATCTGTCTCTATAAGACCACAGATTTCCAAAATCGTATTGTTTCTATATCTGGGGGCCCAGAGTTGATAGATATTATTGAGAGTTAAAATTTTGAATATTATCTATTAATAGATATTTCAGAATTAAAACTCATTTCCAGTCAACAAGCCAGAAGATTATAGCTGTATGTTCTGGGAACTCTGACTTCAACCTAATTAGATCCATGCATAGAAACCATAGTGCATTTTATACACATGTGTGTGTGTATATATATATATATATGTCCCAACAAATATGTCAATATACAACAAACACTATATTTTTGGATCATTTACAGACTATCCAAATGGTCTTAATTATATATCATTTTAAATTTCTCTTCAATAAATTTGCCATATTGAATCTTATGTAATTGTATATTATCTAATGAATGATTATTATACTTAGACACATATCTTACATGTTGCAGGTTGAATGTCATTTCACCCAAAAATAGATTGAGGTGCTAATCCTCAGTACCTCAGAATTCGACTGTATTTGGAAATGGCATCCTCACAGAGGCAACTGACTTAAGATGGGACCACTGGGATAGACCGCCACCAAACAAGACGTGCAGAGACAGTCAAGAACACAAGAAACATGTGAAAGACTGGAGCTGCTGTGAGGAAACAGCCCATTTGGTAAAGTCTTGCCACATGAGCATGAAGATCTGAATTTGATCTCCGGCACTCAGGTAAAAAGCCAGGTGTGGTAGCTCATCTTGTTCTCCTAGCACTTGGAAAGCAGAGACTGGTGAATCCCAAAGCTTGCTGAGGATGAGCACCAGGTCCCAGGAAAAAGCCCTGTCTCACAAAAGAAGGTGGATGTTTCCTGAGGAATGACACTCAAGGTTGACTTCTGGTATCACCTTGCATATACATGCACATGCACACACACATGAACATACACACACACACATGAGCACACAGAGACACATACAGAAAGACTGAACCTGTGCTGCTACAAGCTAAGGAACTACTACTAGAAACTATCTAGGGGAGAGCTTGAACAAGACCCTTCTCCAAGCCTCAGAGGAAGCACGGCCCTGAAACGACTTCATTGTAGACTTCAGGCTTCCGAAAATGCAATACAGTACATTTATATTTTCCTAAGATTCTCAGTATATGGTACTATGTAGCAACCCTAGCAAGTAAGTATAATGTACCAATTAGTACTAACAATGGCTAGGGACTTGAAATAAGATGTGACACGATTTTTTTAAATAATATTCACATACGAACATCTCTGGTGAATATTCAACTTTTGCCATTCCAACTCCTTTGTGAGTGTTGTCTGATTTATTTATTTGTTTGTTTCAGTCCATGTAATCCCATTTGGATAGCTGCAAGGGCCTCTGGCTAGTCTCTAGGAGAAATTCTACCGACCTCCTCAGTCAGTATTCCACACTGACGACAAGAGTGGCATTTCTAAAACACGCATCTGATACTTGGTTGTGAGCTTCTTGGTCTCTCTTTTGAATCCCTCTTATAAATTCACAGAAGTCAGAGAGCAAAGTAGAGTCTTTAGAAGCAAAATGATACCTAGAGGGAGCCCTTAGAATCATCAAAATTGTCACAAAGGCCTGCTCTATAGTTTCAAAGATCTGGTCATATATATAATGTTCCTCACAGCCAACTATGAAATAGGCATAGGAATTATAATGAAAGATTCTACAAAAGGATGACTTTCTCAAGATGAAGACAACATGATATCCAAAATATACACAAAAATACACATACATAGATGTTTATTATGATAAATATCTAACACACATGTTGTAGAATACTATCCTCAGAGCGTAACTGCCATTGCCATCTTAATGAAAGCAGTTGTCACTATTCACAGGAGACCTTTAAGGTCAGGTGTATTGATTTCCCTCATAGAAGGATGGTCATTAGACCCTCACTGTGATTCCAGCCATTCTCTCCTATACCTATAGCCCCCTCCCAGTAGTATGTAATTCTGCCCTAGCTTCATGTAGTCTCCAGAGGGGCTAGAGTATTTGGAGAGGGGAAAATTAACTGAAGAGGTTATTTCACATATATAGACAGGAGGAAGTCTTCATCCATGCTGGGGTGATATTATTTTGGTGAAGTGGCTGTTTTGTGTCAGCCACACTCCTATAATTAAGTCAGGCCTCAGGCTTACTCTAAGTGAGCCCAAGAAACTTATTGGTTCACCAAGTTAGATTTGGTTAGAATCATTACTTTGGCCTGTCATTGGTGCAATATCTGGGCTGAGTAGATGTTTGTTCCTATCGCCCCAGGAAAAGTTCACAGAACATCATATTATAGTAATATATTACAAAATTTTCAGTAGCTGTGTTAAATCAAGAGCTTAGAGAACTGAGATCAACTGTTGCTCCCACCCTTCCCCACTTCATCATCCATCATAACCTCATTTAAGAGCTGTCCCAGGACTGGCGAGGACCTCACCCTGTGCCACCGACTTTCTTTCTCTTCTTCACCCTTTCCCCAGCAACCGCAAACTGGCTGAGAGGAAGTCTGCTGAGGGACATACGCCTAGCTAGTCTCAAGCCTGGGCCCCTGAGATCCATTTCTGCCGACTGAATCCTGCCCAGGGCGAGGGGCAGCTCTGCCCGCTGCAGGTGTGCATGAGCAGCAGCCGTATTCATTCTCACATCTTGGCATTCAGACCTGCACTTCATTACGGACCTGGAAGAATTACAGCCATCCTGGGCTGTCCCCACACTCCTTAGCTCTTTTATTAGCCATCGACACAAATACAATGTAAATAATTTGTAGCTGTTAAGAGAAACAATCTTTTTTTCTCCTTAATTAAACCTTGGGGCCTATTCATTAGAAATGTGTGCAGAGCAGACACCAGGAGGTCACCTGGACTTTCTGATCCACTGTGCCACTTGGCCCGGTCCAGGCATGGCTCCTGGTCTCAGCCCTGGCTCGGACACTTTCAGTGGGTCCTAGTGAGTAAGGCAACCTCTGAGAGTTCCAATTCCTTCAATTATAAAGTGGGAATGATGACATCCTTCACAGGTTAGCCTGTACTCAGATGTCCTATGCTGGACCCAATGCCTCAGCCTTACTCAGACTCACCACTCCTTCTGGGTAGTGACAGCTTCTGCAGGAGAGGAGATCTGTAGCCCGATCTTCAAAATGAGGCTGCTCCCGTATCAGTGGAGGTTGATTTCCCTCCATCCATAGGCCTGTCTCCCTTAATTCCTGTCACTGCTACAGTTAATCAGGTATCTACGTCTTATTTGTCATCTTATACGTATATGTTCATTAGACCTTTGTGAATTTTTGTATTTACTTTTCGTTTGTATGTCCTTGTGTGGGCGGGCATGCATGTGCCATGGCCTACATGTGGAGGTCAGAGGATAACTTGCCAGAAATTGGTGAGCTCCTTCTACCATATAAATTGCGGGGATCAAACTCAGGGTGTCAGGCTTGGCAGCAAGCATCTTTTCCCACTGAGCCATCTTGATGACTGAGATTCATTAATTCTTACAACAACCACAGTGGTAAGACTTTTATCTCATTTTACAGGAGAGAAACAGACGCTCAATGGGCTCACAGGTCCTATTTTTGAAAACATGACATTTAACAACCTTGAAATTTTCTTACTTATGTTCCTAACTTTCTCAAACCTTTTTTGTTTTATTCAAGGTTGACAAATGTTTTCACTTGAATATGTAGACAAAAATAAAAAGTATGCTTTTTCTATTAACCAAATCCTCAGGTTGTAAACCAATGACTTAAATGTACCTTTTGACTTGACCATAGCTGACACAAGTACTATGCAAGAATTACTTTTCTTATTGGTTCAGTGGTCATTCCAAGAACAATATCGCTTCCATGTAATTCATCGAATTTCTTTTCTTTCCCTGCGTGAAATGGCTGAATCACATTTCATTTAAGCATCTACCGTATTGGAAGTGTCCTTCTTTGTAGATGTATTTGATTCCTGCACTTAATGATAGCTTTCGTATTTCTGTTGAGTAATGAATCAGGACTTATCCACTGCCCAGCTGTGTGTAACCTTTTAAATCATTCCATCCTTACTCATTCCTGCTTTTACAAAATGGAGATATTTATTTCTCAAGACTCTTGAGAAAATTTCATGGAAGAATATAGGTAAATGCAGTACAACTGTCATCTAAACACACATAGATCTCCTAGTCCAGTTCAGGCTCCTGGATACCTCCTAGTCCAGTTCAGGGTGGCCTCACACTCTCAGGAATATTGAGCCTTGATTCACTGATTGTATGGATATTTATAGAATATAGAGTAACAAACCACTGATTGTATTTAAGGACCACTTTGCAAGATGGATCCCAGTTATAGATACATAGGTATTTATACTAATGTGCGTAAAACATTGTAAACATTGTGGAAAAGATTGGGGAAAAATAGGTATTTGGAAAAATTCATGTCCATTTGTAATTAAAACTATCAGAGAATAACAAATAACCTCCTTAATCTAATAATGAGCTTTTATAAAAACCAACAGCTAATTTCATGCTTAATAGTAAGAGTGATTTTCCCCTGTGAACAGGAACGACTCAAGGATGTTTACTCTACTTAAATTCACATTTTACCTGTGGTTCTAATGCAATAAATAAAGAAAAAGAATCAGTTTGCAAATGAAAAGATGAAATTGTCTTTGTACACAGAAGACATGAACTTCGTTTTTTTTAAAAGCTCTACAGACTAAAAAAAAAATCACACTAGAACTAATAAGAACATTTTACAGTCAGAGGATAAAAAGT